TTGAGCATTAGGATTTATTTATTTTATTCACAGCTGGCCGTTACGTAAGATCGTCCAATCCCGAGGAAATGGCACGTGCCAAGGATCAATTTAGCAAATTCGGAACTGGACAGTCACAAACCGAATATTTGGCAGTATATCGAGAACAACAAAAACAACAAGAACAATCGTTTCCAAAGTCAGTCCAAGAACAATTGACACCACAATCATTCCAAGAACAATTGACACCAAAGTCTTGGAATGAAAAATTGTTTCCAGACTTGATGCAACAACAACAACAACAACAGCAACAGCCAAAGTCAATGTTTGACTTATTGCGCAAAAATTAACGAGCGATTCGATGAAAAAATTATCAATGCCGCCGTCGTCTATTGTCCTGATCATGATTAAAATATGTCAATGTTTTGATTTATTTTGAAAATGTTGTGCATTGGTCAATAAAAATATCGCATGTTTAAATTTGTGTGCTTTTTCTCTTCAAAAAATTACTTTCAATTAATCAATTCATTGTCTATTTGTATCCGGTGCTATGATTGCATTAGCATACTCTAATTTCAATCGAACTAATGCGCAATCAAACATTTTTGCAGATTCAATATGGCATTTGTTTTTCAGTGTACGCTTAACAAAATCCAGAGTACCATGAGCATTGAGCACTGGCTGTTAGCGCATCGATATGTTTAGAAACATCAAAATTATGCTGCTCACCATTTATTGTACAGTAAAAATTCACCATTTCGTGCGGTATTCATAAAAATGTAACACAACGTTAATCTTATCCAATATTTTGCTTGCTTGCAACAATTTGTTGCCATACCATGAAATGTAAGTACATCTTTAATATATACATGGGCAGATTCATACATCAGTTGAATATCAAAAGTGCTGTTTACATCATGCATTATTTTAGTGGGCAGCTCTTGCCCATTTGGGCAGTTCTTAATCCCAAATGGGCAGCTCAAAACTCAAAAATGGGCAGTGTTTTACTTAAATTTTCTTGAAAATGGGCAGCTCTAAAAATTTCCTAAAATAATGCATGGTTTACATGACGAAAGATTAAGTAATTGTCGTTATCAAAATACACGAATGAAGTGTACATGGGAGGAAGAGAAAAAAAGCAAAATTTCACGGTCAATTCAATCTAACTTTCCGTTCCAAAAGATCAAATTAAAACACCATTTCATAACAGTGAACAAAACAATGGATTTACTCCGATTTTTCTTCATTTTAATATTAATGGTAAGCTAATTTCTCGAAAAAATCTACTGATGAAGAGTATTTCGAACAAAAATTAGGTAACAAATTTGACTATTTCGCCTATTAAATGTTTTTAGTTAGGAAATATTGAGAAAAAAAATGAACACACAGTACGCAAACTGATATGGGCAATATTCGTGTTTGAATGATTATTTTTTAATTTCTTTGGCTAGTTGTATTTCGGAAAGGAAACAATATCGAAGCAAGTGGATAATCCGGAACATCGTGCTTGGTCTAATCGTCTTGATAAGAAATTCACCGGAAAATCTTTTTATGATAAGGTTGTTCGACCGTTTATACATGGCAGCTATCACACAGCTCGGTATTTCGGCTATGAAGCAAAAAAACTTTGGACCAGATTAACTGATTCACCAAAAGGTCGAAAACCAAAGAGCGACAGTTGATAAAACAATTATTGGTACGGTTTGTCATTCACTGATACTTCAATACATTTGTACATTTAGTCAATGGAGTTTATTGCAGGATATACGACAAAGAGGTTTTGATTCTTTTATCATCAATGTGTTCCGGTGCGCATATTTTTAGTTTCGCATAATACGAATATCACAGGCATATCTGCGTCTGTGTGACTTGCGTTCGGATTGAAATTATCGCGTTATATGATACAAAAAAAAAATGTATTCTAGACACATTGTTTTATATTCGTATTCGATAGTTCAGATCATCTTTCCAAAAAAATGTACAATCGTTTTTATCTTAACAACTTACTTAAATATATTTTGCCCCATTCGATTCTACTTTAAATAAAGAATAAAGAACTTATGCTTCGGCACACAATTTGCATTGAATAATAATCGCAAAATTTCTCGTACAGTTCAACTCTTGATTTCAACTAAAGTAAAGTTCAATTTGAAAACTTGAAACGTCATAAAGAAACGTTTCAGAAGGTTTGCAGAACAATGGATTCACGCTGTTTTTGTTTCATTTTAATAACAATGGTAAGCTAAAAAAAATCATTAATCCAAACAAATTTAATCACCGATTGAATATTTTCGAAATGAAAGAACGTGTGAAGGCTTGTGCTTGAAAGCACAATAGTATAAAAATCCACAAGAATTTACCAAAGGGATATTGTAATTCTTCTGACCAGAAAAAACACCATCAAACGTCGTGCCCGTAAATTATTTTACATTTAGGTGGTGGAGCTTGAACAAAAGTTCGACACTATGCATAAACTTGGAAAGAGCTTGATAAACTTGATGAAATACATATATTTTATGGTCGTTGCTATACCCCTATGGAATTTACGTCTCGTTCTTTGTACAAATTGTGTATTTTAATAGTTTAAATGGAACAACTTCAATTTCTTTCGGTCTCTTGTCAGTTGTACTTTGGAAGGTCAGAGCATCGTGCGTTGTCTGATAAGCTTGATGAGAAATTGACCGGAAACCGATTTTATGACAAGCCTTTCGTCCCATTGTACATGGCAGCTATCATGGTTCTGAAATGAATAAATTATGCCAAAATCTTTTGCCTTTTTGAATTTTAGGTGCCCGTTATTTCGGCTATGAAGCCCAACAAGCTTTTGATCCCGAGGAATATGCGCGCTCCAAAGCTCAATATAGCAAAGTTGGAACAGGACAGGCACAAACGGGATATTTATTAGCATATCGGCTACAACAACTAAAACGAAAATGGAGCGAATATTTTGGTATTCTTTCTCGCAGCATTATTTTATTTAAAGGTGGCCTTCGTCCATTGTGCTGATAATAAGAAAAGATGTCAATGCATATTCACCAATTTAAATAATTTCTCTTGATTGGGTAACCTTCATATGTTTTTTTTTAAATGGATTTTATTGCAGGACATACGACTACAAAAATGTTTAAATTTACAGTAAGTTTTCTTTGAGTTGTGAGTAGGTGACAAAACGAATGACCCCCGTCAAAAATCGTTTGAACGAGGAGACAATGAACAAATGTGTATTTATTTTATTCACTTAAAATGAAAGCTGAAGACATTTCCAGTTCAGTTTATTATTTATCTCTTTACTCTGTGAAAATTGGCTTATAATAAAAATTGTGACTATTTATTTCCCGCTCCGAGATTGACGTTTGAGTTTAGAAAAAATAAATTGTCCCAAGTTTAAAACGTCTGTTAAAACCCTAAATTTAGTTGCCACAATTGAGAAATGTTCACATGATACAACGACGGAATATGGTAACATTCGTTTACAAAACTTTGTAACGGCCCTTGTTGAACACGGGATGCACATGGCTCAATTTTAGCAGCTCTTCCTTGATCAATCGCGTTATCTCACGTTTTGCTTTCTGTACCGACATCTCGCTGCAACTTTCAATTGCCAAGTAAAGTTTGCGTTCGCCTTCTGGCACGGTTTTACCGGTTGGAACATATGTACCACGCACCGTCAATCCAGCCTCCGAGTATTCCGATATTTGTGCTAAAGCCTCCTTTAAAATTGTTAACAAAAAAAAATCGACATTGATTAGTATTCACGGGCTGTCAAATGATATTAAATTCAAGCAGAAAAAATGATTTGATTTGAATATGAAAAATACCTTGGATGTAACCTTCCATCTGGCTTGTTGCGGGAAATCATTGATTTCCAATTCTTCTTCATATTTCTTAAATGTGTTTTCGGCGCCGGCCGCTATCAGACTGACATCATCCTCTTCTTTCGGTTGATAGTTCAATTTGTTGTTTAGTTTTGCAGCTAATTGCTCAGCAACGGTTTTTGCCTAGTGGGAAAACAAAGAAAACCAAAACAAATTTTAATTACAAATCGGTGAAAAAGCGTAATTGTTTTGAATGATATATATCGAAGTGACGCATAACATACCGTGATCAAAGATTGTGTTGGACCACCCTTAAGAATAGCTTCGGCCGCTTGTTGTGTTGCATCCTTAGCTTCTGAGCCAAGATTCTTGGATATATTTATACGTGATGCTAACCGCTTGGCCAATTCCAATTTCTGTGTCTGTTGAGCAGTTGTCGTGGTGACAGTTGGTTTCACAGTTGCTGGGGCATTTGTGGTTGCAGCTGTGGCACCGCTCACAATCAACGGTGCCTCGATTTCCTTGACATTTCTCTTGGCTGCAAACATATGCTCAATGTGTTGATCTATGTCATTCTCATCTTCGTCCTCTTCATCTGAATCTTGTATACCGAGTGCGGCTTTTTGCATTTTCTTACTCTCTTTGACCGCATTGGCTTCTTGTTCGTCAAACTTGAATCCTTTGCCACTGAAACCACCGCCAGTATGGACTTTTTTACCTTCGGCCTCTTGTGATGCTTTATACTCATCCCACAGCTGACGCAAGTCCGTCGGAACTGCTGTGCCCGACAACTCCAATGCACGTATAATCTCACCAGCATAACGCCCTTGATCTGGAGTCAAAAATGTCCATGCCGAACCCTTGTTTCCAGCTCGCCCCGTTCGACCGCATCGATGCACATAATCTTCGTAATGATTTGGACAATCGTAATTCACAACCAAAATCAATTGTTTCACATCCAAACCACGTGCCGCCACCGATGTTGCAATCAACAACTTTACTCGGCCCGATTTAAAGTCCAAAATGGTGGAATCGCGATCAAACTGATCAATACCGCCATGTAAACTCATGCAATTGTACGATGCCTTCATTAGATCTTTGAGTAGAATGTCGGCATTTTCCTGCTTATCAACAAACACAATGATACTACCGTGCTCTTGATAGTGGCCAAGCAACTCGAGTAATTTGAAGAATTTCGCTTCTTCGTCCAGAACGGCAACATTCTGTTCCACCTCTTTACATACAACTGATCGACCGCCGACTTGCACTTCGATTGGTTTCTTCAAAATTCGACGAGCAAGTGCTTCCATTTGCCTGGGAAAAGTTGCACTAAACATTACAGTCTGTCTATCCGGTCGGATATTGTCAATGATACGCATTACCTGGTTTAAGAAAAATTGGAAAACCAATGAAATCATTTGTATATGTTTCAATGCAATATTTTCTTTTTCAAACACTAACCTGTGGCTCGAAACCCATATCAAACATGCGATCTGCTTCGTCTAGCACAATGTACGTTACTCGTCTGAGGTTCGTCACTCGGCCCGAATTTGCTGCAAGCATGTCAATCATTCGACCTGAAATTTAACGGAATAATTGCAATTTTATATTCAATCTAAATCAATATGATACAGAAAAAGCAATTTGTTAGAAACAAACTGTGCAAAACGTACCTGGTGTACAAACGATAACTTCGGCTCCACGTTTCAATTCAGCGATTTGTTCGGAAATACCAGTGCCGCCATAAACGCAAACCGCACGCAAATTTAGCGATTTGGAGAATTTTTTGATATCTTTGCCGATTTGCATGCACAGCTCTCGTGTTGGCGTCATAATAATTGCGATCGGACCATCACCATCTTCCAATGGCGCTTGATCCAAAATGTGCCGAAACATTGGCAAAATGAAAGCGATCGTTTTGCCACTGCCGGTCTTAGCAATACCAATCAAATCACGGCCACTCATTACAGCTGGAATGGCTTGGCACTGAATTGGTGTCGGTTTATCGAATCCAAGTCGTTTCAGCACATCCATTTCCTTCTTTGAAACGCCACAATGGGCCCAAGTTTTGATTGGTTTCGGGCAACCTTTTCCCTTCACTTGAATCCCCTCCAGCTCCACTTTGTATGCATCGACGTCGGTTGTGGACATTTTGGCTAGTTCAGGTACTTCAACATAAAAATTCTTACGGAATGGCAAATAATTCACGCCGGAGTGATCAATTTTCGCTAGTTCCTTCTTATGTTTATTTGCCAAATTTGCGGCCGTGTCTTTGATATCTTCAACTTCTTCTTCGGACGAATATTCTAAACCGTCTTGATTTTGTTCCATCATTTCGCCTTTGTTTAGCTCTTTATTCTTTTTCGCCACACCACTCATCACCGTCACACCACCGGCCGCTTTGGCTGGCTTCGTGATTTGATTCACTTTGCGCACTTCTTTGTGCACTTCCAACATATACGCGTCCAACGGATCGATGTCATCGTCTTCGTCAGCGTCAACTTCCATTGCTTGTTCTTTCACGTTTGGATTGCTTTTGATTACGATGGGTTTCGGTGGATCGGGTACAACGATGCTGCTGACAGGTGGTGGCGGTGGTGGTGGTTCGTTTACGATGGCAATCTCTTTGGTGATTGGAACTTCTTTTACATCATCATCATCGTCTGATTCATTTTCCAAACTCCATTTTTTCACACTCGGTGCTGGTAAAATGGTCACTTTTTTGCTTTCCAGTTCCTTGCGCTTCCGTTCGGCACGCCATCGTTCAATCCGATCCCGTCGCTTAATCATCTCTTGTTCGAGTCGCTTCTGTTCTTCCTCTTTGTCAACGCAACCCGTTAAATCTAGTGTTTCAATTTCACTGGAACTCTCCCGATGTGATCGGTCGCGATGTGTTGACTTTTCGCGATCATCTCGACGCACACGATCTCTGGACCGTGAACGCTGTTTACTACTTCCTGATCGGTGATCAGATCGTCCTTTATCACGATATTTATCCGTTTGTTTACGCCGACTGCTGCTAGTTCGTTCAACACTTTCCGACCGTGATCGGCTCCTTGAACGGCTGCAATTAAAATGTTCCGATTAATAACGGGGTTTGTATGGATTATTCCAGATTTCATCGCCAAAAATTGTGCTTTTCTTCACAATATCCACTTATTGTTTTGCATACGTTTTAAAACGTCGGTATTCGAGTAAACGCAATAACTTGGGATTTTAAAACTAACAAATAATTAATATTCGATATAATTTAGAATTTACTTACTCTAATCTGGTTCCACGACCCATTCTCACTTTGATTCGACTATGAATCGCTTTGAATACTATTTCTTATTTTATATCAACAAAAACACAAATTGCGAATGTACGATTTGCATTTAATTCATTTAGAAAACATGGAAGAACCACCGAATTGTCAAACTTATTGAATAAAACAACGACAGGAGTCTATACTAAACGTATGTCAAGCCGTTATACAACAACGATTTGAAATTGCATAGAATTGCGTGTTTTTCTTTCAAATTGCACACTGCCATACTTGAAGTATGTCGAAAATGGATTGATTCTAAAATGTAAAATTAATTTCAAAGTAAAACGAAAATTCAATTCATTTTCTCAATTGAAATCAATTTACGAATTTATTCGAAACGAAAAAAAAAAACTCGGCACAGAAAACGCGCTATAGACGGCGCTCGTGTCGCATACATTTTTTGTCTGAGCTGTCAAATGTCAGGCACACCATTTTCACTTGTACGCAGTCACAATAACATTTTGGTCACACATCTCGAAAAGTTTTTCGATTTCGGAGTTCTTAGTGAAAAATATCGTCTACCAAAAATGTCGAAATACGTTGCATTAATTGGTCCAAGAATTAACAGTAAGTAAATATTTTGCAACGACAAAAAGTTTCACTCAATCGCTATTTACTTCATTGATGTTATAACCATGAAAGTCTTTGAGCGGCCTGAACACATTACGTAATGTCATGGCTAAATCATGAAATAACTTTTGTCGAATTGAGATCAAAACAATTGAATTGATAAGCAATGCTTCATAAAATTGACTAAAACAAAATGTTGTCCACTTTTAGCCCCATTCCGTAAGTGGTGCTACAATTTGTCTGGTTTCCGTAAATATGGTAAGGCATTATTGATACTGTCATTCGTTTGTACTGTCTTTAATGATGGTTTGGCTGATTCTAAACAAAATCAATCTCGTCGTTTTTTTTTCTTCTCTATTATAGGTTTGTTTTTGAACGATTGCTACGCAAGCACACCTGAAGTTGAGGAAGCTATCCGTCGTTTGCCACCTGATGTGTTCGATGCCCGCAACAAACGTATCCAGCTTGCGTTCCATCATTCATTGTGCAAAACCTATTTGCCCAAAGAACAGTGGACCAAATATGAAGAAGATGTCAAATACCTAGAACCATACTTGGAGGAAGTTGAACGTGAAAAAGCCGAACAAGACGCTTACGAACACAATAACTTCAGCACCCAATAAGTTCGTTTTTTAAAATGTAATAATTTCTGAAATGTCTCAACTCAATTGTACACCGTGGATATACCAGAGAGACACAATCGACAGAGCAAAATCACTTAAATAAATTGTCATAAAATTAGCATGAAACCAGAGATGTTGAATAAAATTTAAACAAATTTAATGAAAAAAACCAAAATGATGTTCTTATTGTCAATGAATTTGTGTTATTGAATGGAAGATAGCAGTTTCAGTAGGAGTATGAGAGAAAGAGTAATGTACGTTTCCAGATATATGTTCCATGTTTTTTTTTTTTTTTGATATCTCGAAATCTGTCGATGATCCCATGACGTTGCGAATGTATGTGTGCGCCTTATATTTATGTGTCGAATCACATACACAGAGAATCAAAGAGAACGAAACAGAGGTGTTGCAACAAATGTAAATGTACGCACGTGTGAGTGTGTATGTGTGTGTAGGTTTTTGCGTTTCGATGGAGCTACTTTGGATGTACGTATTAATGTGAGAGAGAGAGAGAGAGAGAGAGAGAGAGAGCATTTGACGTTTGCTGTCATGCAATCGACAACAAAATAAACACCCAACACCACAGATATACAGAGCCGAATCGAACGAAAACAATAATTAGAAAATTTTGCGCTTTATGTAGTGAACAGATGAGTTGATAGGTGTTTGTTTGCCCACCGTTTATTGGCGACTACAACTCAAAACGATCAACGAACAAAACTATGCCGAACAAAAATTCGAAAATCAAATAGTTCATTGGGTGATGGGTGTAAAGGAAAATTGTTTGCGGAAAAAAGAGAGAAACATTTAAAATATTGTGTGAGAGCGACCCAAGAAGAAGAAGAAAAAATAAATAATTACACATATCACATGTTAAAGATTCTTGCTTTTTTTTTGCAATAGACTGTAGGCCAGTAATCGAAATAAATTCTTTATCGTGACAGTGAAATATCAACGAACCATTTGTGGCTGTATTCCCATTTACTTTCGCGTACACAAAAACCAAATGCATTTTGGATTCGATTCAATTCAACGAAATGTTGTGATAGATGAATAAAATATCGTGTTTAGCTAAAGTGTGGGACAATTAAGTTTATTGTTTGTCTACACTATTTTTGTTTTGTTTTGTTGTGTTTTTTTTTTTCTTCAAATAATTTTGCTTTCGGAATATTTAAAAACATAATCAACCGGATTATTCAAGAAAACCTGTGTAGTCGGTTCAAGGCATTGCATTACAAAAAGGCGCTCACTTCATTTATTCAATCGCTTGAAATCAGTAAATAATTGACAAACCGAAAATGTTGTGTAGACACACGCAAAAAGCGTATAAATTTTAGTGGCATCGCTAGCCGAAGCAATTTCGTATAGTTTACTTTGTGTTAATTTTGATAAATTTTTTGTTTCATTGTTAAATTGAAAGCGACTGTGGATACAATGACGGATTAATTAATGCTCTTGGTTAAAATCAATAGCGTTGCGATTTGGAGTTCGCAGAACCTCCATTTGAATAATTCGATTGCTGTTCCCATCGGATTTCTAGAATAGATCCACCAGTTTTGGTTTAGTGGACACACACAGAGAGAGAGAGAGAGATAGAGAGAGAGAGAGAGAAAGAGAGAGAGAAAGAGAGAGAGAAAGTATCAAAATGCACTTTTCTATACCAGATACTCAACAGTTCATCTGTAATAATACCGGTGCAAATTTTACTGTAAGTATACAGTCGATGAAAACTGATTAATAACCAACTAAAAGCATTTATAACACGAACACGCTGCGCGAATCAATTCATTCCGTTGTTTTTAATAATTCTTGCGAGATCATAATGAATTTTATCGCAACGAGCACAGGCGATAGAGTGAAAAAAATACCATGTGGTACCAGAGTTGAGATTAATTGAGTTCTGCGTGCGTAAACATACTTTCAAAAAATATCTATGCAATTTGTTATAGTTTTTGTTCATTTCATCTTTTTTACTCTTTGCCGCAATGAACACCAAACGATGCTGAGCACCGCTGCATTAACAATTGATGCAACAACGAAAATCCAATGAATTTTTCTGAAATCATAATAAGAATTTCGATTTTTTTTTTCTTTTAAAAAAATGATAATATTTTTAGAATTTTTGGGAGGAAAAGTAGCTCTTTTGATAAAACGGTTCTGTACTTTAATTAGCGAAAGGGGAATTATAATTCCCGCAAAAATTATTTATAACTATAATTCGCACAAAAAATGCACTTTCAAAAAGTCTCAGACAACAAGACGTAGAGCTTAGGAGACTCAACAGCAGTAATCGAATTCATTATCGTAACTGTAAATTAATGTTATTGGCATTTTTAAACGTAAAATTTCAATTTTCAATTTGTTAACTTGAGTCTTTTTTTTTCTGCCGTAAACTTATTTGCTGAATGATGAATACGAAAGCAAATGCGGTAATTTTATTACCATTATCATGAGACAAATTGACGTGTGTTCATTCAAAACAACTCATCGTATCGTTATTCGTCTTCTTTATTTGAATAATGCATCAGATAGGTACTACTTAATGTAATCATTCTTCGTAATATAAGAAGTAGAAGATTGTTCATATCTTCAATTAGAAAGGGAGAGGCAGAGAGAGAGAGAGAGAGAGAAATAGGGAGAGACTCACATCTCATATGAAGAAGAATCTAATCTCTCGCAAGAAAGAAGAGGATGTGTTCAAAGCTGTTTTTCAAGACATTAACATCAAACAGATAAGTGGTAGAAAAAGGATGATCATTTCCGCCACACACTCTGTTTGTTTTCCAATTCCCAGCCAAAAGATACCAATCCATTGGAATGTAGCCAAATTCAAAGCCATACGAAGCAACACATCAAATGTGAACTTTATTGAATTGAATGAATCACGACACACTAGAAACCAAATCCCATGAGCAAAATTCTGTTAAATCTACTTTCCAACAGTTGTCTGCATCAATCTCGCATCGAACCTCGGTTATTATATATAATGGGCTTGGTTTATGCATGTGCCGAACCGATCGTAAACAACAAAAAGTGTTCTATGCATAATCTCGACTGTCTAAATTGCAATAGTGCTCCGCGTGCGTGCGCGCTCATTCGCAATTTACTACGAGTTGATAAAAGTGGTGATGCGAAGGCAGAATGTATAGGAAGACAACCCACACAACAAAGAGCACCGTATCATAATGCAATTTAAGAAGCGGAGAAGTATAAAAAAAAGCCACCATTCAGCCAGACATCAAACACACAAATCATGTGTCCACTGTAATCATTTCATAAGCCGTTGAATGTTGATATGTGCATGCGTGTGTGTCTGTGTGATGCATACTTGACTTGCATACATTCATACCAAATAAATTGCAACACGTTTACGGTGTGAATAAATAAATAAATTCATCTCATACATTATAATTTAATCAATTTACCAAATGCGTTAAGCCATTTCAATACGTAATAATAGATATGTCAAGCCACTTTTGAAATACAATCGAGGAAAAAAGAAACGAATGCTTTCCAATCAAAGCAAATAATTGCGATAAATATGTAGATTAGCATGGAGAATGATGAATACGATGCATAATTTGTTTTTTTTTTCTGGATGGAAACTAATCATGAAATGCTGTGTTGTTTCGCTAAAGAGTTCTCACACGAACACGCTGAATTGGATTTGTCTCCGCGCTCCACTACCGAACCGCCGAATAGCGGATGAATGAATTAAGTATGATTGAAAACTCGATTCGCTCAAAGAACTCAAACACTTAACGAATTAATATGACACTTTTCGCACTTGCCGCGCTCACAGCCTCTTTTGCTCGGTGGCTTTTTGTCATCGGGTGGAAGCTAAGACCGAAAACAACTTGAATGACAACTGTGACGACGCGACCGCCCTCAATTTCAATAGGAAAATCAATGTAATTTCGTAATTTTTTTCTGAACTAAACAGCGCGTCAATATGAATTTCGTTGATGCTTCCACCCTATGCTTTTTGTCGATATGTTTTGGGTGAACAATTCGGGTGCAGTTCATTGAAAGTTTCTATTTGAAAATTCTTACAAAGAGTAAACTAGTTCGAATACGATGAATGAATATGTCCAAAAATGAAAATTTGGAATTATTTCCAAATCAATTTGCTTCGATTACTTAATGAAAAATTGTCTACTTAAAATGTTGGCAATCAAATAGCACCCGTTGATTTTGATTATTCAATAAAAAATTATGGAAATGGATGCTACTGAAAAATGTGCATGAATGATAGGAAAGCACACGCTTAATTGACTGTGCTGTTGAGACAACAACAACGCACAGATTTTAAAACATTCCGTTTGTTGAAAGATTCGAATATATTTGCCGCTATCGTCGGTTGCACGATGAGCATTTATCGAAATATGCATAAACATCATTCAATAAATCGTTTATCAAATAAAAGTGCGCGCCAAGTCAAACAGTTCATTTGCCTTTTTGTTTTGTTGTTGTTGCTATTGTGTGTATTGTTATCAAAATCTCGAGTGCTCAATGCGTCTGAGTTACTCGAAGTGTCTCCAATTATTGTCGTCATCATCGTCATCATCATTTCTTTTTATATCAAAATCACTCTCATTCTGCCATCTAATTCGATTTCCTTTTTTTTTCTTTCTCTTTCGCTGCTTTCCCAATTTAAATAAAACAGGGCTTCAATATACATATTAACGGGTGTTTCCATTGTTGTCTGCGATACAAGCAAATCCATTGTTTGCACGAGCAATTGAAACGATGTTTTCCCGGTTTTGTGCTGCCACCGTTTCCATCGAAGAAATTTTTGCCACTCACACAAAATCAATTGGAGCAACGACGATCACATCTGGAACGTTATATTCAATTGGTTGGCCAAGTAAGTCCAACGGCAAAACTCGGCCGTAATTCGTGATTTTTCTGTTTTTTTTTTTTTAACTTAGTACTAATTTTTTTTAATTCGATTATCAATTTTTTTACATTAAATTTATTCAATTGGCCAGGATCCTGTCTTTTCGAAATGTGAACTATTGCGATGTTTTCTACTGAATGCCCAACAAGAATCGGCCCAAATTCAACCGCATGAAGTCACATTAGACGTTTACTTAATGAATGGCTATCGTATTCCGGTCAGTTGCTACACAACCGATTTTACTAGCAAAATTCTGGAGAAGGCCGCACAAAATATCGATTTAGCGCCACAATTTGTCGAATACTTTACCCTGTATTTGATGCGTACCGAAAAGAATGGCGATACAACATTGGTACGACGATTAATGGACTTTGAAGCACCGTACATGACGCAACGGGTGCTCAACGATTGCCAAATAGTCATAAGAAAAAGGCAAGAGCAATTTTGAATTGATATGTCAAATATTGAACGTTGATTGCTTGATGTCTAAACTATTATAACATTTGCCTCTATTTCAAACAAAACAGCTACTGGGACTGTATATACGATCAAGCATTGTTTGACAACAGTGTTGCCCTGAACCTATTGTACATCTTAACATTAAGCGATGTTGATCGTGACTGGATCTTAAGTGGGCCTGACATTCGTGATCAATTGTATGAGCTGCAAGGGAAAGGGAACAAAAAAGAAGTAAGTCCAACGGCAAAACTCGGCTGTTTTTCGTGATTTTTCTGGTTTTTTTTTTTTAACTTAGTACTAATTTTCTTTTTAATTCGATCATCAAATTTTTTACTTTAAATTTAGAATTAAATTCTATAAAATTGAGCATCCAAATTATCCAGTATGATCTTTTTCATTTTCAGTATTTACAAATCGCAAGAAAACTGCCGTCGTATGGAAGCATCAAATTTTCGAATGCAACCGCTGATTATCCATACGTAAATAATCTCGTGAATATATTGATTGGCAATAAGGAGTTATCCATTCAAAGCACTACAAACGATGGCAAATGCCAAGAAACTAAATTCAAAATAACACGAATGCGTTGCTGGCGAGTCACAACCAATTACAACGTAAGATTTTGACGATTTCATTAAGAAAAGCTCTTCGTCGGTTTCATTAAAAATGGTGAATGTTGTTTATGGATTTCATTTGGTTTTATCGTTCATTTATTTCATGTTGATCAGAATGAGGAGAATTCGTCACGCTCAACAGCTGATGCAGGATGTAATAGCAATAGCGATTCAAATTGCCCGACGATGGAGCTCTCTTTTGAATATTTAATGGCTAAAAATATTCTACAATGGATTACAATTACCAGCGAACATGCAATGCTTATATCGGTGTGTTTGCAGAGCATTGTCGATGAACTGTTAAATCAGAAGGATGGCCACGATCTACGCCAAAACATTGACTCGGTAAAGTACATCGCTCCTTGTTCTCTTCCACTTCTTCTTCATCGTTTTTTTTTCTTTATCTCATTTTCATCCATCGTTTGCGTCTTTTTCCCTTCTTTTCATATTTCTAACGTCATTTTCCCCCCTATTAATCGAACTTATCTCATGAAAACAGGAGCAGCCAACTAAACGACAACCGCCCCAATCTCTACCGGTGCTTACCTATATTCGTCGTGATGGCCAAATGTGTAAAAATAACAAAAAAGAAGAGGTTCGACGCATTTCATCAACCAGCTCAAATGAAACCATCTCTAGTTTGGTAAATATTCATTTTCTATTCCATTCATTTCATTTCTAATCAAATTAAATTTGAATGGAACTTATGACTGATTCAAAATAAAATGTCTAAAATGTTGGTATTTGCAGACGGAAAGCGACGTACCGCTAAATGTTACGGGCGAAACATTCTCATTTCGCAAAAAGCTAAAGGAGAAGTTATCCACAAACACAACCGTATTCTTCCGCAATGGCAAAGACTCTTCCGTTCACAATGATGCATTTGAAGAAATTGGTGACGATGATTTATAGTTCAAATGAATCGACATAAAAACACGAAATTCATTTCGAGGCCAATCTATTACTCTTAGAAACCATGTCAATCCATTTATATTTTGTACTACATTTGATAATGTACAATTGTACATAGAATTTAATTAGTTTTAGTAAACACAGAGAGTGTAACTCCGAGGAGGAGGAATGGTGAGGAGGTGAATGAGGAGGAGGAGTGCGCCGAGGAGGTTCCTCCACCTCACATGAGGAGAAAATAAAAATTACCAAAATTTATATGCCTCAATTTTGGTAATTTTTATTTCCTTCTCATTCACCTCCTCACCGTTCCTCCTTCTCGGAGTTACACTCCCTGAGTAAACATGATCAAAAGTCTACCATGAATATAAATTTTTTTTCGACTTTGTTAAATAAGTTGCCATCGATTTCTTTTTTTTTTTAAAAGAAGATCATTTGAATGCATTGCATTTTTTCTTGATCGAGAGCTCTCTTTTTTTGCTAAATATCATTTTTGAGAAAATAAAAACACATACCATTAGCCTAAGGATTTGTTTCTAGATTTTTAATAATGTAAAAAAAAGCAAATTGTTATTTTTGTACGGATTAATATTTTTTTTCTTGGCTGAACCAAGGTTTTATTCAATTTTTGTGAACTTATTCCGATTCATTTGAGCGCAACAATAATTCGTAATGTAAACTCATATCGATTTGTTTTTATAAAATGGGAATTAGCTCTTAAGATCATGGTTTAACTACCACATTCAATTCAGCAGCATTTTTTGCACCTTTTATTTGTTTTATTGTTGAGAAAATAATTTGTTTATGTTTAATAACAAAAACTCTCTATTATAAATATATCATTTTCTATGGGAAACACCACATATATCATATGGGTTAAATCAATAAAGAAAAATCATGGAATAGAAATGTTTGCATTTTTTTTCTTCGAATGTTATTGGAGAAATATGTTCCCAATATATCCACTTCCATTCGAAATCAATTCAATATTAGAGTTAATTTTACAAATTATAACTTCTGAACACAATCCAATAGGGGGTATGAATCACAGAAAGGTGCACATAAATAATGTTCCTTCTTTTTTTCGTTGTTGATGAGTTCATGTTCAAAGATTTGTGGGTTTCAAAGAACAATATCAAGAATAAATCCATTCGCATCCGCTTTTTTTAAGGAAATATACTGCGTACAGACAGGTATATATACATTGATATACCTTCGCGTTAAATAACGCGTTCGCTGGCACCGAAGTATTAGCTGACGCGTGCGCTCAACGCAAAGGTATACTTTTTAGCATATACCGATACACATTTACATACACTTGCGGTAAACGATGAACTATCTCTGGTTTACTACTGTGTCCAAAAAGTAAGGTGACATTGCATTTAAAATTTAGCGCGCTGGGGAATTTGAAAAAATCCTTTTATTTTTAGGTTGGTAGGACTGTCTTTGACATCCCTGCCAAATTACACGTCAAAATATTCATTAGTGTTTGAGATACGCTTCGTTTTGTGGACTGCTAAAAGTGAATTTCTCGTTTTTTGCGATGTCGAAATTTGTTGATCAAAGAATTTGCATTAAATTTTGTTTGCGGAATCAATTTTCTGCTGCGGATTCGTTGAGGATGGTGCAGAAAGCCTTTGGTGATGAGGCTATGTCGAAAAAAAATGTTTACAAGTGGTATAGTGAGTTCCAAGCAGGCCGTGAATGTGTCGAAGACGAAGAGCGTGCTGGGCGACCATCAACCTCAACCGACGAAGCTCACGTCCAAAAAATTAAAGATTTGGTGTTGGAAAACCGTCGATTAACGATTAGAGACCTTGCTGATGATATTGGCATATCGAAAGGCTCAGTCAATACCATTTTGAAGGATGTTTTGGGCCTCAAACGCGTCAAATCTCGACTGGTACCGAAATCATTGAATTTTTTGGAAAAAAGGTGTCGAGTTGACGTGTGTGAAACAATGCTTTCTGACTACATTGACAAGACGAAATGCATGATCACTGGAGACGAGACTTGGATCTATGCTTACGACCCGGAAACAACCGACCAATCGAGCGAATATCGTGCCAAAGGTGAGCCGAGACCAAAAAAACCGCGCCAAAGTCGCTCAAAAATCAAGGTCATGTTGACTGTTTTCTTCGATTATCGGGGTGTTGTGCATTATGAGTTCCTTCCCCCGGGTCAAACAGTCAACAAGGAATATTATTTGAGTGTTATGCGTCGTTTGCGTAACGCTATCCGCCGAAAGAGGCCGGAATTGTGGAAAGACAACTCTTGGTTTTTGCACCATTATAATGCATCGTCTCACAATGCGATCATTCTTCGTGAACATTTCGCCAAAAACTCGACTCATATCGTTCCACAACCACCGTATTCACCTGATTTGGCACCGTGCGACTTCTGGCTGTTCAACAAGCTCAAAAGACCGCTCCGGGGACACCGTTTTGAGACGATAGAGCAGATTGAAGCCGCAGCGAAGACGGAGCTGAGGGCCATCCCTGAAGTCGACTTTTTCAACTGTTTCGAAGATTGGAAAATCCGTTGGCATAAGTGCATTGTATCGGGAGGGGATTACTTTGAAGGCGATGAAATTGATTTGGAAGAATAAATAAAGAATTTTCAAAATAAATGCAATGTCACCTTACTTTTTGGACACAGTAGTATTATGACATGGCAATATTGTTTGATTTCCCTGCGATCCATGGTGGCGTTGAGGGAACCTAAATTTTTTACAAATTACAATTTATATTCAAATTCAGGCGAATTTAAACTTTAAAAGATTTAATGAAACTTATGAGTCAAGACTAAAGAAAAATAGCGATAATTTGGGGTTATTGACAAATACATCAGCACAGATGAACGTTAGATAACGGTTGAAGTATTTGAAAAAGTATCTGGGACAGCATAATTTGGCAATACCAAATTGGCATCTTGTATGATAAAGTAAAGCAAGTTGCTCCTACAAAGGGTAAGTTTCAAAATCAGAATATGCATCCGACAATAACGTTCCACTTCTGTGACCATTTCGTCGATTACGTTGCAGTAATTGAATTTTCTTGGAACAAGAGAAAAATATTCTCCAATCGAAAGTATAATACCAAAAATTTGAATCCGTTTCCAGTCGTTAATATGTCAATTCGGCATGCACCGAAAAAAAAATGTATTTAACCAACAAGGGGACCGAATTGATAAAAAAACGAGATTCTATAAACTTATATATTTGCCACGCGGTGATCGAAAGAACTGTATAGTTTATATGAAGGTTTTGTTTATAAACAACAATTTTGTTTTCAAACAAACTATCCTGTGTAAATATATTGCTGCAAAACAGTTTGAATGCGATCAACATTCAAGTCGATGTGAATGTTGATTTTGTTTTGTCTTGAAGTATTTCGATGTATATAGTTCTGATAGTGAGTTTCTAAACGTTTAAAGCTTTTGAGAGCAACACAATGCGCTGATGTCATCACAATTCAGTGCTCATCAGCGGCATTCATTTCTCCGCGTAGCAAGTATACAGGAGAGCAACAATTTGTCACGAAAATTAAAACGATTCGATACGGACTGAGGCATTTCTTATTATTCCGCTCTTATTCGGTGCTTTGCTGTCATTCGATTTTTAGCTCACCAACGAAAAGGTTCATTTTGTGATTGAAAGAAAAAAAAATACTAAAAATTGTAACAGACCGAATCCAATAGAAAGTGATAGTGAAGTAGTAGAATTAATCAAGACCAAATAATGGGAATAAGTGGACTCAATACGTTTATCGTTGAATTCCATGTCAGTGAGCGTATTAGCATGCCCGAGGAGATCGAGAAATGGAAAGTGTAAGTTAAATGTCATTCTAGAAATGTATCATTCATTCATTTGGCGTTCATTTTTAAATTTAGCCAAAACAATGGGCAAGTGCCAACAATATTGATCGATTTGAAAGAAGCGGCACAAATTTTCATGCGATATGGAACAGGTGAAATGAATGTGGCTCTAGGTGGTTGTTTCACTTACTATCGCAACCGAATGATTGAATTTATGAAAAATTTCGGCGAAACGAATGCAAAGATGGTTTTTTTCATGGCCGGCCGAAAGTACACCGATGATTTGGAATTCTTTATCCAAGCACGTGAATCCGCTTACATACAAAGTTTGGATGTTTTAGATAAAATTGAAGGTTACTCTGATTACAAGGAGCTGGAGGATGCATTTCGAAAGAAGTTTCAAAATTTCCATTGCGATTTTCGAATGGTTTCGACATTCGAATATAATTTGGAAAGGTTGGTTCGGCGTCACGGCGATTTCCATGTAAATTACGTGAAACACAATCAAGTAATTGCCCGATATGCCAATGAGCATGCAGATGAAGTGTTGGCTATCATAACCAATGACACTGATTTCATGGCATTTGAAGGTGATTTCCAATTCTGGAAGGCCAATGATACTAACGTTACTGACATGACTTGCTACCGATACTGTCGACGAACGCTGTGTGATGATCTTGGTTTGGATTTTCACCAAATGAAATTACTTGGTGCATTGTGTGGCACAAAGTATTTATCGACACATTTGGTCTCTGATTTTCTGAATGGACTAGCTAGTACCAATGATGATCCGATTAAAATTGGCAAAATATGGAATGTTTCGGCATATATAAAACAACAACCGTATGAGGTGGTCAACAACAAGCCAAAATTCGACTTAGAGCATATCAGCAAGGATGTTTTTGGGTCGAAATACACGCCCGAGCAGCTGAATAGCATTGCAAACAGCCTGAAAATATACGATTTAGATTTGGTCGATGATCCTGAACCGAATGATTCCTTCTTGAAAAAACATAACACGTTCCTGTACAAGCTCTCCACCGGTGACACATTTTGTGTTATAGACATTGAATACATTGATTTTCGCAACTACACGTCCAAAAGCTATGCTGAGTTGATCATGCCCATTTTGATGAAAATGTGTGGAATTTTGTTCAAAGACAATATTCCTCGTCCCGAAGTACGCAAGATCTGTATGAAACATGCACACGATGAACCGTTCAAAGTGACCGAAGAAGAAATCGTTTATCCACCAAGTGAGTTATAATACTATGTGTTTGAAGCGAAACTTTTTTCAACTCAACAAATCAATTTTTTGCAGTGGAATTGCCCGAATTGTTCGACTTGATTTTCAAGCGTAGAGAAAAACATTCCGATGCACTTCATTGGTCCCTACTCGAATGGATTCTTGACTTGAATGGAGACTTCATGGAAAAACTGCGGGCAAATAATCATTCAAACAAACTATCAGCCGTTATTATCACTCTAAAATATTTCATCCAGGTACTTTAACATTTTTGAATGTCTCTAAATTATAAATGAAGTAATATATGTACAATTTTTAAATTGGTATATAGCCATCAACATATTCGTAAAGCAATGTTACTTTCAATCTCTTTTAATTCTATTTATTCTATTTTCAAACCGACTACAGCATGGGGAGCTATCAACTTATGAAGCAAATGCCATCTTGATCACTGAATATAAAATACATCGTTGTGGCTCAAGTAAATTTGAGCTTCACAATGTGCCGAATATTCACTACATTCGAATCGCTCATTTGTACGTGAAAATGTACGTCGTCATTTCGCATTGCTTAGGGATCTGTGGCCTTCGAGACATGACGGTAAGAGATTATTCACGTTGATATTTCATTGTAATGAACTGAATAGCTATGATAATAGAAAGCGAATGCGTTTTATTTTAATTTTGATCAAACTTTTTACTTTAGATTTAATGGACTAGTTTCGTCAATCTCAACATTTCATACTCTTGCTTGATCGCAAAACTTAAATTACCTTTCATTTTAGAATTTAATACGATTTGATGGGCCCGTCTTCCTTAAAACCATGGAGGAATTCGAAACAACCTATGACCAGCAGAAGCAACAACTCAATGCAATCGGACTGGATTTCTTCACTAATTAATGCTTGTATCGTTCGAGCTATTATATGCTGTTCTAATGCAGTCAAGCCGAAAAAAGAAATCAAACAAATAGATGGAATTCACATTTTTAGTAATAGCGCAAACCCATGAATTATTATCAAATAATATCAAAACATTCATTCCTATTTTAGTCCAAGTAATACGGTAACAAACTTTTGATGTTAAAAAACAGCCATCATTTAGCTTATGGAATAAGTAGTCTTTTTTATTTCTTATTTTTTCATTATAGTGTTAAACAGGAATATCCCAATAACATTCTTCACTTATGTGTTCTGATCAAAATTTTGTTAAATTTTAATTTTACATTATCTAATTACTTTCTTTTTTTCATTTGTTATTGCTAGCAAAAATACTTGCAACAATAGATTTTGTCATAAACAAACCTTTTCATTCGATTCCATTACATTTATGATTTGTTTATAGCATTGAAATTCCAAATGCATTTCAAAAGTAAAGGTCGACAAGAGAGAAATATCTCTATATGACTTTAATTAGCTTCAAATGGCACAATAATCGTTTTGGAATATAATAAAATTAATGAAACCAACAGAATCGAGAAATGATATTTATTCATTTAGTTTGTTCTTCTTGAAATGAAAAAAAATTATCAGAAATTCTCCAGTTTCTTTAGCTATTAACAGTTTGGAAAGGTGAAGAGCACTGATGTAGGTATTAAAATGAGGTAAGTAGAAGTGATGATTTCTTTGAAGGGTTCTTTCAAGTTATACATTTCACCGAGCTTCATAAACAGGTATTTATAAAACAAATACCCGCAAATAATTTATTCTGCATCAAGCTGTAAATTTTTGTCGCTAGGTTATTTTCAAAGTTCAAACTTGAACATTTGATTAAATTATGATTATAAACGAAGATATTGGTTTGCCAAATGAAACCATTATGAAGACGTTTCCTATCTGAATGCAATATTCTTTGTACTCAAAGATATTGTTTCAAATTTCTTTTGTATGTTCGGTCCCATATATGTTTTTGGGGGTTCATTCTCTAGTTTCACACACCGTACAACATTATTTCAACAAAATTTTGGAATCTGAACTTCGTTGCGGACTATGCACGTTGCACATTGACGCTCAACATGAAATAAACTCACAGAAAAAAGGAAAGAAAAATTCATTATTATAAACAGAAAGTTTAAACAAACAGTCTTATCTAAATGCATTGACGAAAAACAGTTCAAATGTGATCAATATTCAAGTCGATGTGAATGTTTATTTTGTTCTGTCTTAAATCACTTCGCTGTATAGCTCTGATAGTGAGTTTGTTTATAAACTTTTATAGCCTTTTTTTTAAAAATTTCTCTCTACGCTTCTTTGCCTTTATATCCAATAGTGTGTTGGAACGAGAGCAACACAATGTGCTGATCTCATCAAAATCGAGTATAGGAGAGCAACAATTTGTCACGAAAATTAAAACGATTCGATACGGAC